TCATTATTGTTTTTTATTGTTATCATTATTATCATCATTATCATCTTTGCAATTATCATTATCGATATCACTGTTACTATGTCACTGTTATCATCATTATTATTATCACATTTATCATTATTACTATTATCATTACTATTGTTATTCTCATCACCATCATCATTGGTAGTAGTAATAGTAGTAGTAGCAATAGCAGTAGTTGTAATAGTAATAGTAACAGTAGCATCATTAACATTATCATTATCATCATTACTATTATCAGTACCATCATCATTATCACTGTCATTATCATCATTATCACTATGATATTATTATCATCACTATCACTATCATTACCATCCGTTATAATTACTACTGATTATCAGAAATGATGACATTCTTACTCCTATGATTTCCATTCCTATAATCACCATCATGATTTTCCTTTATAATCTTATCATTACTTTTTATCATCATTATCATTCTATATATTTTTTTCCCGTAATTTTAAGGGAAACAAGAACCAATCAGCGACGAGAGGTAGCCCGCCATTAGTGTCACGTGACCTTCGTTGCCATAGAAACGGCGAGGGGAATCCGGCCACGCCCATGACTCATTAATCTTGACGTTCGTGGGCGTGACTTTTTGTGTGTGTGTGTGTGAGGGGCGGTCGAGGTGCTGGCGTGGAAGGAGGAGGAGGAGGGGGAGGGGGGAAGGGGGGAAGGGAAGGGAGGAGGAGGACGGGAGGGGAGAGGTAGGAGAGGGAGGGTGGGAAGGGAGGAGGATGAGGGGGGGAGGGAGGAGGAGGAGGGAAGGGAGGGGGGGAAGGGAGGAGGATGAGGGGGGGAAGGGAGAAGGGGGAAGTGAGGGGTAGTAAAGGGAGGGGGAGGAAGGAAGTAGGCGGTCAAGGGGAGGGGGGAAGGGAGGAGGGGGAGGGGAGGGGTAGGAGAGGGAGGAGGAGGGGGAAGAGAAGGGGAGGAGGGAGGGGGAAGAGGAGTGAAGGAGGAGGAGGAGAAGGAGGAGGAGGAGGAGGAGGAGGAGGAGGAGGAGGAGGAGGAGGAGGAGGAGGAGGAGAAGGAGGAGGAGGAGGAAGAGGAAGAAAGGAGGAGGGTGTGAGGAGAAGGGGGTGAGGAACGGAGGAGGAGGATGAACGAGGGGAGCGAATGGAGGTGGAGAGGGAAGGGGGAAGGGGATCGAAGGCGGAGGGGAAGGACTGAGGGGAAAAAGATAGAAATTGAGCTTGCAGGGTTTAGGGGAAAAGGTGCGTGAAAAGATGATGTATTTTGGAGATAATGATATGAGGTGAGGCCAATGGAGGGGGGGGGGAGCTGGATCGAGTCAAGGGGGGGGAGGGGGAAAGGGAGCTAAGGGGGGAGAGGAGAAGGGAGTCATGGGGGGAGGGGAGGGCGGGGGAGAGACAAGCGGAGAAAAGGGCTAAGGGAAGAAGGAAGGGAGAAAATCAAGAAGAGGAGGAAGAAACATCAGGAAAGAAAGAAGGGGCAGAGGAAATACGAAGAGGGGGAGAGAAAAGAATGAAAGCAGGATGACGATTGAAAAAAAAAGGAGGAATAGACAAGAAAAGACTATTTAAGAGGGGGGGAGGGGGCGCTCGAAACAATTCAACCCACCATCTCAGTGACTCGCAGTCGTATGTAAACAAACACCAAACTTACCTCACTTTTTTTTCTCCTTCTTTAAACAAACTTGAAAAGTTATTCTAAACAACAATAAGGGAAAAAATAAGAGATTTTATGATATACATGCGTGCAGGGTGGCAGTCTACAGCAAGCTCGGGTCGTGAGGTGTTTATTTTTCGAGTGCGTTTCTCCAAATACGTTTGGGCTCATTTCGTGTTAATTTCATCCTCGTGACGTTTGCCTTCCGGTCTTTTTAATATTGTCTCATTACTTGATTTCCTGGAGGTTTGGGTTTCTGAAATTCTGATTATGTAGTGGAGTCCTAACTGGTGTTTTTATTTCCGTTTTCTTAACTGCGTGTTGGTGTGATACTTCGAAAAACTGATTACCTCGTTTTCTGCTTTGATTTTTAATTCAGAAGTTTTATCTATCAACTAACTAAATTACCATATAGATTTCGCGGCACACTGTTAGCTGCAACCATGACTACCTGCAATCTTGGTAACTTAACGGCTAACAACCTTCACGAGCTATATATGTCTGTATCTCAATTTACCTGGAGATCTAGTCAGCTTAAATGTTGCTATTTATAGACCTCATTACTCCGACTACCTGGAGATCTGGTGATGTAATGGTGTGTTTAAAAGGAGCTCACTTTTCCTGTTATTTGCTTTCCTGAAATGCGTATACTTAATGGTTCCGTCACATGCGGTTAGGTTACCTGATAAGCCGTTTATAGGATAGATCGATAACTAGACAGTGTGACTATTACCTTACGTGTTTACTGAGTATTAAGGCGCTTGACATATTACTTCGGTATCATAGCGGTTGTCCGTTATATTTGTCTACACGTCCTCATATGGATAAAATACCTTGTCTTTGTTAACTGTATCGTGTTTTCTATATGCCTGTTTTGCGAGAATTGATAAGGTAATGAGGCGAAAAATAATTGCTTTGTTTTTCACCCCCCTCCTTTTAAATCCCGCGTACGGGTTTGATTTATAATACTCACTAGGCCAAATTACTGTTGTTATTAATAGTTCATTACATTACATTGTTATGCAGGTGCCGCTAATATGCCCTAATGATATGTTCGTTTTAACCATACCAAACTTGACATACGATACTGACATTGCATCTCATAATTTTAGTGCAGTTTCACCATAAATCTCATTGCA